AGATCTCCCATGTGGGAAGACAGAGCCTAGCCCCCGAGGCCATACCCTTCAGCCTTCCCAGGCATGTTAGCAGGGTGCTAGATGGGAAGTAGAGCAGCTAGGACTCAACAGACACTCTGAGAAGGGACACATCACAATGCCAGCCCCACACCCTCAGTGCTAGCCCCACACACTCATTGACTTTAACCAAGCTTTAAAAGTGGTGGAGGATTTCAATTTGCTAACCATTGGTTTCTCGCATTTTTGTGTTACCAGTTAAGAGACTTTGTGAATGAAGGAAATAAGATACAGTGTATGCACAATGACCCTGAATTAGGTAAAACTAACTTTTTCTTTCAAAGAAATTTTCAATGGGAGGAGGATAGGAGTGATATTTCTAATTTATTTGCCAATTACCCTGAGGATGTAATCTATTAGTAACAAATTGTGCTAAGGCTCAACACACTCTTAAATGTGAGGCAAGAGACTAGCATTGTAGGTTAGCATGTAAAGACATCACCTCTATGCCAGCATCCCATAAGGGCACTGTTTCATGTTCTGATTACTTTCAATTCAACTCTCTGCCAGTGGCCTGAGAAAAGAATGGAAGATGGCCCAAGTACATGGGCCTGAGCTCCTAGCTCCTGGCTTCAGCCTGGCTCCAGCCTGGCCAGGCCTTGTCAGTTGTAGCCACTTGGGGAGCAGATCAGCAGATGAAAAATCTCTTGCTGCATCTCTTCCACTCTCTGTTAACTCTTTCAAAGGGAAAAAAACTTACAGAAAAAATTAATTTTAAGCAATGGACAGGAAGTCTTTAAAACCCTGTAGGCAGTTGACTTCTTGTAAACATTCCATCACTTACATCCCTCCTCTGAAAAATGTCAATCCCAGCTCTGAGAAGAAACAATGTTTGCACCAGCTAGGGTAGGGATTCACTACTGTGTGAAATGAGTTGATCCAGGTAGGAGGTTCCAGTTTCTTATATCCAGTCACTTCCCCTATCCATGATGCTGCTAAAGGTTCTCCCTTGTTTAGCTCTATCCACTGGCGCCCTTCCCTTGGCACAGGCACAAGAGCCACATTAACCTGGGAAGCTCAGGGAGCAGCTGGGAGTCAGTGCAGAGTACTGAAGGGCAGCCCAGCCCAGAAAGGCAAAAACACATTCTAAGTGACCTCGACAAAATCACCATATGGGGGCCATAGGGGAGGGAGTCCCATTTGCCAGCCTGTGTGTTCATGCTCCAAAGATGCAGTACAAACGAAGGGAAAAAGAAATCTCCCTGTAGATACCTGCTTTCCTGTACAAATAGCCCAGTCGCCTGCAATTGCAATTGGTGGAGATGCTTAAATTCCTTTAGCCAGGATGATTGCAAAGCATTGGAGAGTGAAGAGCCCATCAGTACGTGTGTTTCTGTCATTCAGCACCCAGCTCAGAGATAAGAGAGCAAGGAAATAAATGAATCATTGATTTTTTTTTCTGCTTGGGTCTGACTCCTGAGCATGGGGCTTAGGCTGTACAGTCCTTCATCCTTACCTATGACACAACCAGCTCCTCTCCCTTTCATCTGTCTGAGAAAGCGGATTGCCAAAGCTGCTTCGTCTCCCTAGACTCAACAGTGTGGCCCTGTCCTGGGCTCAGGCTGGTGCTCTGGCCACTGTGCCAGTCACCTCTCTAGAAAAAGCAGCTGGTATCCTTTTTGGAATCTCAGTGACTCCACATTACTTTCCCTACTCTTCTTCATGATGCCAAATAAGCTAAAAACAATTTTGATTTTTTATTTGTCTTTGAGGTAAAACGACTTCCTTCCAGGGCTACTTAGCTGTAGCATTTTGCCCCCTCTTCTGGGTCACTGCCGTAGTGTACAGCACTGGGATCATCTGCTTCTACAGCAAGTTCTATGTGATAGCCACCCAGGGGTGCACAGGAAGTATTGGTTGACGCTGAGGAGCTGGCTGGCTAGAGATATCATGCAATTTGTCCTGCTCTTTCCAGCCCTGCTTGAAGCAGAAGCTGACATCGTTAGGAAGGCTCCCCAAGCTGCCAAGGTGGTGGCTGCTTTCCTCATCTGTCGAAGCTTCCTTCAGTGCAGGCTGCCAGCATTTCCAGATCTCTGCTTTTCCTGCCCCATCTCATGCCGTGGCGTCTCTTGGCTGGATCAGCTAAGGTCACATGTGAGCTGAGTCATTACGGAAGGAGCAAAAGGGGGTGTCCTGGAAGAGTCTAGAATGGGAGCTCTCTCAGCAGAGAGTTCAAGTCTGGAAGCCCAGACGATGCAAGAGCCATCCAATCCGCCTATTTCTGGGTGTCTCTGGCTGTTGTGGCCATGAGTTTACCTGACATCTTTTCAGGGATGACTGGGTCAAACTCTAGAACCATGCTGGCTTCTCACACAGGGTGCTGGGCGTTACCTGATATTTGAATAAGCTGCCACCCAGAAAACTTGAGTTCTGCCATACTGATTCACTTCCCAAAGACAGCAAAACTTGGGACTTGGAGACAAAGACAGCTGAACTCCAACCTCACACAGGCTGTGTGACCTTTGCAGGGTCACCTGTGCTCTCTAGGTGATGAAGCTGCTCTTTGTGGAAACACGACATGGCCAGTAATAAATAACATACATGAAGTATTTCCTGCATTCCTAACAGGACATGAAGTGCTTTGCAGAATTTGTTAATTGAAAAAAAAAAATTACGCCAAGCCTACGAAGCGTATCCTATTATTTACCCCATTTCACAGATTAAAAAAAGAAAAACTTGAGGTACAGGAATGTGCAGAATGTATGAGTCCCTAAATACTGTGCTGATGTGGCCAGGATTCAAAGAAATGGCCATGAGGTATTTGGCACAATTTAGAGCGGACAGTGTTCAGGACATGATAACTACATGTTTGTTTTTAGTGAGTGTGTTTAGTAGATGGATGCATCCCATATAAAGTGATTTCTAAATTTATATTCTCTTTTAAATTTTGACTTGTTTGAAAGATAGAGGCGCAGAGGGAGAGAACATGTTCCCATGTGCTGAATCACTTTTCAAATGCCTGCAACAGCCAGGCCTGGCTAAGCCAATGCCAGGTGGTAGGAACCGGGAATTCAGGTCTCTCACATGGGAAGCAGGAAGCCTATCACTTGGGCCATCACCGCTGCCTCTTAGGGTCTACGTTAGAGAGAAGCTGGAATTGAGAGCTGGAGCAGGGTTTCAAGTCCAGATACTTTGATGTAGGGAATCGTTATCTTAACCACTAAGCCAAGTGCTCACTCCAGAACAGATGTAGTTCATGAACAATGGTGGTATTTGTTTCAGTAAGCTAGCACTGTATGTCCCCTGTCCTAGGAAGACGTTTGAATCCATGAAGTCTCCTCCCCAAGGATGCAACACCATAGCTGAATTTTGTTAGCCATCTACCCATAAGCCCTGCCTCGGTTTTCATGGCAGAAAGATGCATTTCTGTCTGCTCAAATACTTTTGTAATAGTCCAAACCTCTTGGCACAAGGGCTGTATTTATTGCTTTGTATTCCCTGGACTCAACCAAGAGATTCTTGCTTGCTGACTGCCTGGTTTTTCTTATTCATCATTCAAAAGGTGACTTTGGGATTTGTCTTAGCGACTCAGAACTACATAGCTGAATTGTAATCAGGGGATGTAAGCTACAGCCCACCTTCAGAAAACAATTCCTGGCTTGCTGGCTTTCCTGTCTGCTACTGGGGCTTTCTGGCCCTTGAAGAGCATGTGAAGGAGACTTGGCAAAGAGAGAGAAAAACAGAAAGATGTGAGAACGCAAGCGCAATTGAGGGAGATAAAAGGACGGGAGGGCAGAGATGCAGTAATGTTTTTCATAGAAATAGAGAATTTTGAATCTGGAAGATCCTTCTAGATTTTCTATTCCAGTGTCTTCTTTTTATTGACAAGATTAGGAAGTCCCAAGAGGTTAACTGTAGAAAGTTACACACCTGTGGATTGTGACTGTTTTGGGGTGCTTGTAGCCAAAACTTCTCTCTATTCAGTCCATGCTCGCATGCACGTATGCACATTCACACACTGATTTTTGGAATCCCACTGATGAATGACTACTAGAACTGAGAATTTCAGTTTTCCTGTGCAGTGGCATCTACACCCATTCACACACTTGTAGGATATTTCCCCAGGAAACACACACTGACCTTGCCCTTGATGAAGTCTTTATATCCTGAGCATATGAACAGCCATCTGGATGGGGGTGGGGAGGAACAGGGATGATGGTTCCCATGTTCAGGGAAAGGGCCCAGAGGTGATCTTGTTTTATCATTAACTAACAGGTGGGATCTTCAGACAGTTCATGGAAAATGTGTATTATGAATGAACGTTAAGCATGGATTTCAACTTTTTTGCACCAAAAGCATTTTTTTAAGGTGGCATTTCATGAATATTGCATCCTTTTCTCTCATCCACTCAACAGAGTAGCTATGGTGTATGGGAGCTCCAGCCAGCCTGAAACAGCCAGGGTCTCTTTCTCAAACAGACTGGGAAGCAGAAAACCAAAGTAAATAAGTGAATATGTGTGGGGAGAAGCCACATGAGAAGAGCAGAATGATGCAGAGAAGAGCATGATGCAACAGGGTTCAAGAGGTGTGGCATGTGGTATTGGGATGGGGGAGAGGACCTCCCCAGGGAGTGGCTTTTTGGGTAGAGATCTGAACAGATGGAAGGAGTCATCCTTATTCCAAACCCATTTGCCCACCACGGAACTGCCCTGGGGCTCTGGTTTTAATTCCACCTGTGTCTTCACCTCAGCACCGGTGTAAAAGACAGAGGTCAAGCAGCTGCTTAAAGTGGAGTAACCCAATCTTGGACAAGGCCCAGGCTGGTTAGCCCTTTGAGAACTGAAACCTGTGATCAGGTCTCCCAGATCAGAGGGTCCAGTTTCAGTTTTAATTAGGATACCCAAAGAAATGTCCCTGTCCACTTTACTCAATTTCAGCTCCTCCCTCCTCTCCCCCAGGAAGAGGGCTTCCTGCCTCCAACCTGGAGGCCCTGGTATGCTTACCTCTTGCAGCTATCCTTGAGTTAGTGCTGAACTTGGAACTTGATTTGGATGGGCTCAGGAAAGGGTCAGATGGAAACAGAAGCCCCAGGTGTGATGTACAGGTGGGTAGTAAAAAGCCTGTGGGAGGTGGGGGCTTGGTGGTGAGGTTGTTTATAACCTTGGGCTGCAGCTCAGATTGTGACATCAGAGAAGAATGGGGCCACATTCAAGGCCAGGAGCTGAACAGGTCTTGCCCTTGTATCCAGGCATGTGGCACAGCCTCTGTAAAACAAGACAGAGCAATATCGTAGGGCTGTGGAAAACATCAAGAGACCCCCTTTTGGCGCTTGCCATGGAGTAAGCAGTTATGCATTATCTTCTTAACTCTCTCAACATTCTATACAGTGGGTAGTGTCCAAATTGCCTGGGGTCAGAGGTGTTTCAGATTTGGGATTTGGGGAAGGGGTGGGGGCTGGGAGATATTTGCCTATATGTAATGAGATATCTTGGGGACGCCCCCCTGCCCCTGTCTGTAACTCATTCATGAGTCACGTACCTTATGCATATGGCCTGAAGGGAATTCTATTCATTATTTCTAGTGCACCTGCGTTTTGACTGCAGCTTGTTACTTGAAGTCAGGTGTGGAATTCTCCACTTATGATGTCACAAAGCTTTGGATTTTAGAGTGCTGAGATTGGTGGTGCTGCTCTGTTCTCCTTTAACAGATGCAGAAAGCGAGACTCAGAGGTTAAGTAACTTTTGTCCAATGTGATCTGGTTAGTAGGCTGTGGGATTTATCCTATATCTAGGATCCTTATATTCCTCACAACTTTGCCTTTTGGCAAAGGCTCCGAGAATCGTATCTTAAGACAAATTCAAAGAGAGAATCTGCTGTCCCAGAGACATTTTCTGGAATGATTTCTGAAAACATCAGATGTGGGTGATTTGAGAATTAGCTCAGTTGTTAAGATGTTGTGGGTAAAACAGTAATATTAGGTGGGTGGGAGTGGGGCTAGAGGAGAAGGGGAGACATGGTTGGCGAGTGATGTCTTTGTTTGACTCTAGTCCATTTTCATAAGGCCCATAATGAAACCCCAGTGTTTCAGCAGAACTCCAGCACACCTATACATCAGCAGATCCTAGGCAGAAGGAATTGAACTTTCATCAGTGCAGGGCAGCGAGGCTTGTGAGAACAAGCCCCGAGGTCTGAACTGGACTTTCCTGCCAGGTTAGGTGGCCAAGAAGCCTGGTTGACCAAGGCTGGTGCCACCTGCAAGGAGAGGTCACCCTTCCCAGTCAGTGAGATCCTGGGAAGAGATCCCATTTACAGAAGTACAGTAACCCTCCTGTTGTCCTGCTGCAAATCTGTCGCCAACACCATCCTCCCAATGGTCATCAAAATCTTCTCTCCCATCCAGAAGGCGGCTTTTCCCACACCCCAAAAGCAGCTTCCAGCAGCAACCAAGACTTACTATTTGCAGCCACTGTTTAATAAATCATAAATAATATTTATAACATATAAAGGCTTAAAGAATTTTTGAAAATGACAATAAAACTGGTTTCTGTCTCCCAACACCTAGTTAAAAAAAATGAATACAACCCTGCCCTCAAAGTCCCTTATGTAAAATGAAAAAAAAAAGATATTTTTTGTATCAAAGTGCACAGAGGTCTGCAAAGAGCTTCCGCAGAATCCTAGTCTGTATTTCCTACAACATGCTCTGAAGATGAAATACACCAGCTTCAGTAATGGCCAAAGCAGCTGCCACACATTTACTGACATTAGCACCAGATAACTTCACAAGTGCCATGGCGTTCCTTCCCGTCCCCTTGACCCGAGGTGTGTAAGTCAAGATTTTAGGATGTGTAAAAATGCTGAGGTTCTGACAGATTTCCCCCTCCTACCCAAGCAAATGGCTGTCTTGAGTATACATGGCCGTGCATTCCTCGGCTGCCCCGCCTCAGGGTCTCCCGTGCATCCCGGAAAGCCTGCTGCTGCTCTTCCCACAGCTCTCTTCTCCATAAATCACCAGCCACACCATCAGCCTCGAGGTGCACAAGTATCCAGCTGGCTGAATCTTTGTAGGTGGTAAACTGAAGGATTAGTAGCTAGAACCCTGTTAACAAGTTTTCTAGAAGCCATAAGCAACAGAGACTTACTTGTGGTCAGGCATCTGAAATCAGGCTCACCCGAGACTCCCAAGTTCATAAGAGCATTTTGGAACTGAATCCATGATGGCACTTCTGGTGACTCAGCAGCGACTTGGGGTTCCTGAGCTGAGTGCAACTGGATGATGAAGCTGATTGGTTTACAGCTTGGCACCTCTGGGCTTTGAGGCTTCAGCAGACTTAGTGAGTCCCGTTTCTTCTAGGAATAATCAGCCTGACGTTTCTCATCTCACCAGATTGATGGGAAGAGAACTGAGTGATGCAGGCTGTGTGAAGGGGCCTCCTAAACTCTAAAGAACTCTAAAAATAAAATGCCTTTCTGCTAGGGATGTAAAATTCAGTTTTACAGATTAGATATGGCTCTCAATCCACATCGTATTGTCAACTTAATTTCTGCTTCAAACCATATGTAGGATTTGCCATATTTAACAAGTGAAATTATTGGGTGCCTAGGACGGGACATCTATGTTGGTACATCTGACCTTACCTTAACCATCTCCCTCCAGGCCACCAGGAAACTTAGAGGACTGACTTGGGTACCACTGTGAGTCTGAGCTTCAGTTCTAGGGCCTGGGGCCTCATCCAGGTAAAGCAGCAACCAGGCATGTGACCTCTCAGGCACTGTGTCTTCCTTGCACAGGAAATCCTTAGAGCTAGCAACCCTCTGCGCTTCACTGGGGATCAAAGAAGAGTCTGCAAAATCACCTGTCATTCTCTGCCTAGTTAACACATCACACAGCTTCTTCTCAGGGTTGTGGGTGGAATAGGCTACTTAGGCAAAAATCATGAGGTTGGAGCCCCTTTGCAAAGTGTTGAGCATTCTGATCTCAACATCAGTGTCAATATTTCCTTCTCCATTTCTGTGCCTACTTCCTGCTTACCTTCCCTCTATCCTCTTACCACTACTCCCAGCCTGACGATATTTCTTTCTCTGCCAAAGAAAGCATGTTTCTGCCTAGGCTTTCTCCAGTTCGCTTTGCTGGTTCTCACAAACTCTTGGCTCCTGCTGCCTCCGCCCTAAACCCTTTGCCTTCAACTCTGGTACCAGCTCTTCAGATATCAAGTGTAGGCATCTTGTGCTTTGCTTCTCTTTTATGCCCTTCCAGGTACTATCCTGAAGACAATGAGAAGCAGGTTGATTGGTTGCTTGCGTCAGGAATGAGAATAGGAAAGGAGAAGATAAAGGCAAATACAAATTAATAGCTAACTCAAAATACTTTCATTAGAAGGGTGTTCATGCAGCATGATTTTAACTAGCATGGTGGTGTTTTTCTCCTGGTCTTTTTATGCCCTACATCTGTAACTTTTGGTGGGAGACGACAGGCACATACTTTACCATCCCTGCCACCTTACCAGGAGTAAGTGATCAAGGAATGTTTGTAGAATCTCTTTCAGTAACTCATGGGGTGAACAGCTGGTTTGGAGCCTCAGGCAGCTGCAAGGCTGCCACTATGAGTTTGGCAAGTACCTTTCAGGAAAACTGACTGTTCTCGATGACAGCAGACCAAGTGTCACCACCCTTCCTAGTGTGCTGTGAGTCCACATGGAGATCTGGGCAGTGCTGAGAGTCCTGAAACAGAAGGATGACCTGGAGCAGAGCTGGTGGCTACAACATAATGCTTGCTCTTTGCAAAGAGGGAAGAGAATGTTTGTAAACAGTTCCTACCCCCATGTGACATTTGGCATCTTTTCCAAGTAATAACATCTTTCCAAGAGTCTTACAGAGTTTGTCTGCTGAATCAACTGAGTTACCAGACGCCGCTCCATGGGATCTGGAAAGTGAATTAGAAAGTTGTGGGTCTCCAAAAATGCAAGAGAATGCGTAGATGGAGAATGGATGCCTCAGGAGAAAATTCATCTTAATACCTTTCAAGGGCCTGTTGCACTTAGTCTAGTGCTCCAAGGTGATCTCTTTCTCCTTATTAACCTTTGCTGGTTTCTCCTAAAAAGAGCGGTGGTTCTGGCTTATGAGGAAATGTTACCTCAGATGCAGAAAGGTTAAAATACCTTTGTGCAAATCCAAGCTCAACCACTTACCAGCTGTGTGATCTCACACGTTACTTAATCTCTGAACTTGTGTTTCTTTATCAGTTCCATGCAAATAATAACAGCACATAAATACGTCACCCTGAAGTGACTGTTACGGCTACATGAGAAAATGTATGCAAGTTTAAGTGTTTGCTGCAGTGCTGGCCACAATAAGAGTTTAGTGAATGTGTAACTGTGATTGCCTTTGGAATACAAGGCAAAGGAAGGACAGGTATGTTTCCTGTCTGAAAGGGGGGATGACAAGGCACAGATCAAGTAGCTTGTCAAGACTTGAAGGGAAAGTCATCTCAGAGCAGGAGCCTTGGCTTCTCAGTAAAGAGGCGGACCTGGGTAGATGTGTAGGCTGCATTTCTGACACACTGCATTACTCTATGGGTCTTTCTGGCACCTTGCAAATGTTGGCTCTGGCCGTCATGATGGCCTCTCCTCCAATATGTATTTCATTCAGTGGACCAGCTGGAATGCTTGTAGACAAACACACATTGACGGTATACCCCAAAATGCATACTTGCAAGTGCATACACACACAGGTATTGTATAAATACACACTAGCAGTTTACCCCAAAACACACACTTTCAAGTACACACACACACACATATGTGTTGTATAAACACATTTATATCCTTACCTGGAGACTGGAGACTCCTAGGCACTCTTCACCTCACCTCATTTTACAATATTAATTTTTGAGTCAAAGAATACAGAATGTGGGAGGGAGAGAATGAGGGGAAGTTCTATACCTACAAAAGTGTAAAATGGAAAATAAGAATTAAAAAAATAATACAGAATGAGATTAGGGCCAAGAAGTAGGGGTCATGTCCTGTCTCTTCATCCTGGAACATCAGGATAGAGCCCCTGGAATTGTCCGTGAATTATGGCTGGAGAGCAGAAGAAATGTCCCACATGATAAGGCCTGGGAGGTAGAGATGGCAGTTTGGGG